GAAGCATTATTGGATCAAGATTCGTGCCAAACGCAAGAAGAACTTGCACTTACATTGGGAGTGACTATACAAGCAATTTCACATCGGTTGAAATCATTGGGATTGATTCAAAAACAAGGAAATTGGGTTCCATATGAACTGACGCCGAGAAACGTTGAACGCCGATTGTTCACATGTGAAATGCTGCTTGCTAGGCATAAACGAAAGGGTTTTCTGCACCGTATAGTCACTGGTGATGAAAAATGGATCCACTATGATAATTTAAAAAGGAAGAATTCATGGGGACCACCTGGCCATGCTTCAACATCTACAGCTAAGCCAAATATTCATGGAAAAAAACTCTTGTTATGCATTTGGTGGGATCAGCTTGGTGTCGTGTATTATGAGTTGCTCAAACCGAACGAAAGCATTACTGGGGCTGTCTACCGAACACAATTGATGAGATTGAGTCGAGCACTCAAGGAAAAGCGCGCCCACTACTCCAGACACGACAAAGTTATTCTCCTGCATGATAATGCTCGTCCACATGTTGCGGCGCCGGTCAAAACCTATTTGGAAACACTCAGTTGGGAAGTTTTACCCCAGCCGCCGTATTCACCAGACATTGCTCCTTTTGATTTCCACATGTTTAGATCGATGGCGCATGGCCTGTCTGAGCAACACTTCACATCATATGAAGATATCAAAAATTGGGTCGATTCGTGGATAGCCTCAAAAGATGAAGCATTCTTCCGACGCGGTATCCGTATGCTGCCAGAAAGATGGGAAAAAGTAGTGGCAAGCGATGGACAATACTTCAAATAAAACATTAGGTTCCGTTCTTTCACAATAAATGCCCAATTTTTGATAAAAAACGGCGGAAACTTATTTGTACACCTAATAACATTTTTCCATATTATTACAAGTAACGGAGATATTTCAGGTGGTCAAAGTTTTTGCCCCACCCTGTATATATTGTATATATGAACACTTCACTTTCATTAATATAAACTTCACTCTTTCGACGATATTATATTATAATTAATGATAATTGTCGCGTAATTATTAGAGAGTTACCTCATTATGTAATTGCAACGGTCCGGAAAATTACAATTTATGGAAACAGAGAAGCGCCACAAGAAAATAAAAACGCGTTAACATTTTTTTGGTGATGGCAAAATTTAATGACGTACAGAAAAAAATGGAACTTTCTGATTAATATTACAGATCTTTTAAGCTCGCAATTTGTGTTATACAATATCCTGCATTTTTCTCTATTAAATTATAAACCATGAAATATATTTAAATATGCAAGATATTCTAAATCGTTCAGAAAGATTAAAGAGACTATCTTTCATATTCTAATATATTATATTAAAAAAGTATTTTTTTCAATCTATATGTACAAGACAGGTTTGATTCATGTTTCCATTATAAATTTTATTTTTGCAAAAAATGTATATAAATTATATGTAAAATATAATAAATAATAATTGTATGTAAAAAATATATCTCTCTTTCTTGTGAGAGGGTTAGTGTTGTTTTTTCTTTTACTATAAAGTATATACACACACTATTTAATATGCATTAAATATTGCAATATTCCATCGCATTATATTTTGTTGATATTTTTAGTATTTTTAATTAATATTAAAATCTGTTTTTTGCAAAAAAAAAACACTGGAGATGCTGACAGTGTTTTTGACATGTAAAGAATTATCAAGAGATATGTATAGTAGATAAAACATCAGGTTTTTATCTTTTTAGCGGGATAAAAGATTTATTTTCTTTTATAGTAACATTATAATCAGCATCTTATGTCAAAGAAAAGAATTGTTAGACAAAATTTTGTTTTATGCATCTGTATAATGCATTACATTGTGTCGAGTTGCACTAATAATCGTCAGCGATGCACGCGATGTCGACAATCATCTAAATTTCTGTTTTAAGATATAATTAGCTAATGCACAAATATATCTCATAATGGAAGGGGCTCGATGTCTTGTGTTACGTGTAGTTTAGACTTTCTCTTGCTCTATGTGACATAATTTCTCATACACCTAGCACAGCGTCGCGGCTGAAACTTGGTCCAGTTTCGTTCATATTCAAACTCGGTGCGGTCATGCCAAGAAATCGCTGTATCCTTCCCGTATTTTTGCTCGCCACTATACTGGCAGCGTCCTATTCGACCATCGTACAGGTATATATAAATGTCAGTTTTACTAGGCCAAAATAACTTTCTGTTGTAAACTGCTTAAATAATATAGGATATCCGAAATTTAAGCTATATTTATTGATTTATTGAATTTTAACGTTTTTTATATTAATCAGTTTTTTTACTTACAATTAGATTGTGCATTTCTTCTCTTTCTCTTTCTTGGCATTTTAACGAAATATCTGTGTATGCATTATAACAATAAAAAGAATCGCATATCAACTCTGAAACAAATTTATTTCACAGAGATTGCATTATAAAATATCATTTAGTCTTGATTTAAAAAGATATTAAATTTAAAAATTATTATGCCTTGCAAATGTTTAAATTTAAAAAATTAGACGCTATTGTTTAATAAATAAGTGTTTCTTCTTCTGTAGATATATATTAATCTACCGCTAAAGAATTGTATTGCATGCTATGTGTAAAATAAACTATCAAATTGTGAAGTGTGATATTTAATAGGATATTAAGTAATATACTTCTGCAATATATCAAGATTCATATATAGATAGATTTAAAAATAAATAATAAACATTTTTTTATTAACAAGGGCATATGTATACAGGGTGTTTCAGTACCCCTGTTAAAAATTTTGAGGAGTGGTAGAACTCAATGAAAGCATCGTTCTTTATTAAGCAACCCCTGTCCTCCGACGCGTCCTTAAGGAGCTACGCGTCCTGGAATTCTGGCGCCTATTGGTAGGCAACTCAACGATGAAGGACACAGACATGGGCCAACAACACTACAAAAGATGTTCAAAGTTTCTTCCTCTTAAGAAAGAATGTCCCCAGAGGTAAAAATCAAGAAAGTTGAGGTCAGGAGAACGTGCACGCCATGCGACAGGTCCCCCTCCCTCTCTTCACATTTTCTCAAAGTAGCTCCTTAAGAACGCGTCGGAAGATAGGGGTTGCTTAAAAAAAAAACCATGCTTTCACTGAGTCCTACCACCTCTCAAAGTTTGTAACAGAGAAACTGAAACACCGTGAAACACGTATGTATGTATATATGTATGTATGTATGTACATTGCCTGACAATGATTCGTTCCGTTTCCCGAACGAGGTAAATATACGAGTGGAGATATCTATGTTACGTTCACCATATGAGTATTAATGAGATATTAGGAAAATATATTTCACAAAGAGGTATGCTAGTAGTAATTTGTAGGTTACAAGTATTAATTTTGTGTCTTGAAATTGTAGGATATCTCTCCGCGAAATATATTTTCCTGTTAACTCCTGGTAATACAGAATCGAATTTTTGAGCGCTCTAAGACACATTACTGCTAGTGAACGCCATTATCAACACCTTCTTCGCAAAATACATTATTCTTCTACAAACTCAGATGCGAATTTTCGAGGATATTTAGTTGACACAAAATTAATACTCGTGATCTGCATTACTACTAGCATACCTCTTTGTGAAATATATGCTCCTAATATCTCATTAATACTCATACGGTGAACGTAGTATAGGTATTCCTATTCCTACGTTTACTTCGTTAGAGGAACGGAACGAATCATTATCGGGCAGTGTACGTATACATTGTATAAAAAACCATATGTAAAATATATATCTCTGTTAGATGCCTTGTATCGCCAGATTAAATTAAAGTTGTATTAAATCGATTTATTTCATAATATGAAAAGTGGCAGTATAAAAATAGTATGAAAAAACGTCCTTGGCTTTGAATTAATCAAGGTAACATTTCGTGAAGGTTTGTTACACTCTGTTGGACTTCAAACTTTTTCTAAATTATGGAAGAAAGCGAATTATGAGTGATCCGATATTCTTTCTCTTTCTCTTTTTCTTTCTCTTTCTCTTTCTCTTTCCCCGTTCACCATCTTCTTCCGTGCCGTCCACATCGCGTCCTCGTCCACCACTAACTATTATCGCCACTGTCGTCACACTCGACCTTCTTTCACAAACGTAGGTATATACATATCCCTTATAGCAGCGCATTCGGGGTCTTCGCAAGGTTACCGATTGAAAATCGGACATGCGCGCGAAAATTAAATCGGGCGCTATACTATAAAGCTATGCTATAAAGATACATAGTTAT